ACCTCTGCTTGCCTGGTAAGGCCTTATCGTGAGTCAACAGCGGGAACCTGGGATAGACAATAAAGACATGGAGGTTCATAACGATTGATCTTTCCCACGACCCCGAGTTGTATTTCCTCTCACAAATTGAGATTTCGGGATTCTGACACATGTGAGCAGGAAGGCGCCTCTTCTTCCTCAGACTCATGCTAATAATGTGATGAGTGCTTGATTGTTCCCGATGACCTTTGCTATTTGCTGTCTGCTCCATGTTCATGCCTGTTTTCTATGGGTAAAGGGCATCTTCGCTGTCTGTGCTGGCTGACTGCTATGGATGGGGTAATTTCTAGGTGTCTGGTGCTTCCTTCTTTTACCTGCAGTGGACCTATTGTGCTTGCTCAGGGAGCCATACCTTGCGCAGTCTTGTTGGCTAATCTCTGCAAGGGAAGTCACTTCAGTTTATGCATGGCCTTTGCCTGGCGAGACATCCTCCATCCATCCATCCATCCATCCATCCATCCATCCACTCATTCTTACTCTCATTCACGCTGGCATGTGCGATGCACCCCATGGCCCGTGAGCATGTTCCTTTGATGTTTGGCATAACAGGCAATACCAATATTAGTTCCCTGAGTCGCACCCAGCAGCAGAAAGGCAAGAAGGGGGTACATGCAGGTGCCCAGGCCCAGGGCAGGCTCCTGTGGATGATGCTTTCCCCACGCGTCCTCACTGAACGTTTCCCTTCCCCACAGATGAGATGTGTATGGGGAGGATTCCCCATGGGTGCAGTTGCCCCACCAGAAGAGCCGCAGCGTCCTGCTGCCGGAGCTGCACCTTCTTAGTCATACTCAGCAAGCTGCCAGTGCTGCTCTCCTACCCAAAGTTCACTGTGTCAGCTCACATACAAGCTGATACTTCTACTGGATCACAGTTCTTGCTAATTCTGTTAGAGCAAAGTGGTTTCTTCAGAAAAAGAGAACTCCTCTTTGAATGCATGTTTTACCAAATGCTGAAATGGTATGAGCAGGTGTGGCACTGAGAAGACTTGTTCAGGCTTTGGGGCTTTTAAGGGCTCAGTCCTTAAGGGCACATTGAGACAGAGAAAAGGCATAGAATTTCATAGACAGGCAGAAGGACAGACAGATAGAGAGACATAATTACTGATGTAATGTCCATTGACCACAGATAAATTTGATTGACAGATAGACACTCCAAACTTCTGCTATAATTCGCTTCAGCTGTTTAAGAAAGCAGAACAAGGAAATACAAACTTGATTCATCTATGGAATTCTTGAAAAATTCCCTAATTGAAGAAAGAATTGGCACTAACAAAGAGTTGAATTTCTGTGATGCAGGGGCTTTCTCTGTGTGAATGCATATATAAGCACATGTATAAATAACCCTTC